GAATTTTTGTAGTAAGCAAAGAAACCTGGGGTAAAGTCGACCAGTCAATTTTAGAGACAGACCTTGAACTACCGACGATCGTCACTTGCGTCTTTGACGGATTTATTTGCAGTCCGAAATTAGTGCTCCACTCGCCTATCCGGTCCATGTCGCGGTTGATTGTTGCAACAGCATTCGGTAACTCAACAAGCGAAGCTTGAGTATAAATTTGGAGATCATCAGCATAAAGGTGGTACCACGGCCTCAAGGAAAACCGACGTGAAACAGCTTGCGTTGTGTTTCGTCGTGTGAGTGAGGTTACCGGAGGCCCAGTTACCTTAATGATTAACCTTAATAATAATCTTTTTTTGATAAAAAAAAGAATTATACTATTAATCATTAGGATAATTCCTCACTCACACGAGTGACGCTCGCCGCACATGTTCACACTCGCACTCGTCCACGGTATTGACCACAGAACATATAGAGGAGTATGTTCTGTGGTATTAACATTGGCACGTGCAAATATTTCACTTGCAAACAAATGCAAAAAAAGCCATTTATAACTATGATTCAGAATTGAAACTTGGTTCTTAAAAGCGAAATTTATTATAACGCAGCTGCAATAAGACAAAATTTCTTATTCCAATATTTACTTTAATGGACTTTAACTTCGAGTTGTGCAATAAAACCGTGAGAGTGCTCCATAATTATAATAAATTCAATTTTATGTGCATAGCAATAAAGTATAATTTACTATACGTTACTCTAAACGTGATAGATGGTCTATAAAGTCCAAGTACTCATGATTATGGTAAGGAGTTAGTCGTGTAGACTGTAGATATAGCACTAATAGTTGTCTCCTCTGCTGGCTATTACGCTACTTATGATGTGGTTAAATGTGGGAGAGTCATGCTTCGGCATGAATGGGCCGGCTCGACCGGAGTGATACCACGGCCTCACAGAAGACCGACGTGAAACAACGCTTGCGCTGTGTTTCGTCGCGTGAGTGAGGCTACCGGAGGCACAATCAAACAAGGCTTGCGTTGTATGAGTGACGTGACCGGCGGTCAATAACCCTCCTCCCCTTCCCCAATCTCCCAATCCCTGAATCCCCAACAATCGTCAAACTCCTAATCCCCAAAAGGCCGGTAACGCACTTGTAATGTTTCTGGTGTTTCAGGTGTCCATGGGTGACGCCGATTGCTTACCATCAGGTGATCCGTCTGCTCGTTCACAGTATTTTTTTTTAAAAACGTTGCCCCACACTAGCATTTTCTCCTGTGTCGTGGGTGCGTTTACAAACATACAATGTCACATACACATGACAATCAGACCCGGAACAACAATCTGTGGATCACACAAAGAGTTGTTCCGTGCGGGAATCGAACCCGCGACACGTTGCGCGGCAGCCAGTTGCCCAGCCACCGCGCCAACCGTGCAGTCAAAGTCAGTAAACATAATAACGCGTAAAAACACATATAACCATTATATTATGTGCGATCCACAAATTGTTATTCCAGTATAAAATACATACAACTTTAAGTTGCTACATGCAGAAACAAAACGCTGACCTGGCTTCAATCGACCGGCTATTCCTAGACTGCGTTATTTGTATAGAGTGCACTTCTGAAACAAGCCTGAAATTCAGGAAAGGCTTCAGAGCAACCGATCGGACCGAGTAACGAATATGTGATCCGTGAATTTTAGAATTGAAGACGAGTTGATGCTCTGATGTGCTATTTCAAGTGCATGCTAGTGTACTTAGTTTCTGTCTATGTTATTTTAGTGTCTATGTGTGTATGTTTAGTTTACTTCTGTACTAGCTTTTACCCGCGGCTTCGCTCGCGTCACAAAAGGATAAAAAGTAGCCTATGTGACATATACACAGCGCCATCTATACCAATAATTTTGTTTACCCTCGGGAATATCAAATTTTTCCTAGATAAAAAGTACCCTATTATTCAATCCGGACTCCTAACTTTACGTCTGCAAAAAATCAGAGCAATCGGTTTAGTAGTTACGGCGTGAAAGCAGAACAAACAAACAAACAAACGAACAAACTCACTTTCTGATTTAAAATATTAGTAAGGATTAGTAGACATTTTGATTTTTATCGAAGCCAACGTAACATAGCTTCATCGGTAACTGAAGTCAACTACCTCTAAACATAGTTATGTTACTGGGGGGTAAACTTATTGTTATAAACACAATTCTAGCCCCTAAGTAATAAGGATGATGACTGGGTAAACAGATTCGTATTTTTTTATTTTGTCATACAAGAAAACAATACTTAGATAAAGAGAATCAAAGTTTAGGAGTGGGAGTTAAAACTTCTTAGAGTGACGTCACGTGTTATTTCAAATCAATATATCGTCGAAAGTATTTGCTTCTGTAAGAAAATACAAAATACGGTCTAATGTTTTAAAACAATCTACCAGAAGGGCAATAAAATAAAAATTTGTCATCTACCCTATTACCATTTTTTCAGAAAATCGAATGAGTGGCATGATTTAGTTGTTTGTCTTTGTTTTTAATTGTTAATAAGTTACAATTCTAAATTTTACACATGCTAACTTGTCGCGGAGAACCTAACGGGTAGCCGGGACTCCGGCTCGACGTGCAGGAGACGGAACGGGGAGGTTTTTAGTCAGTAAGAGTCTGACGCTCCCTCCCGCCTGGGTGAGGCGGGAGCAGTAATTCGATGATTTTCCGCCCTTAAAAAAAACATGCTAATTTGAAGCACGAAAGCATGCTTCAATTGAGTCAACTTGTCACTTAGTAGTATGTGTGTCGGTAACTCGGAATGTTGCTCAAAAATTAGCATGCTCATTTCAAGCATGTTTGAGAATCGACAGGCGTTCGCCTTTTGAAAATTTTTGAACATGCTTAATATAACGCTTTTTAGCATGCTATTTTAAAGCATATGTAGGAGTAACTTTATCCTAGCAATAAGTTAAAATGAAAATTGTATAACTACAAATAATATTATTGAACCTATGAATGGATTCAAGGTCAATTCGTGCCTAAGGCAATGAGACAACCTCTGTTTGGGACATTTTGCTTACATGTGTTTAATTTCCTGAAGAAAAATTGAAAACAGTTAGCCCCGTAGTATATTACTCTCTTTTTGTTACCTATAAAATGGCCAGTAGAAAGAAAAAGTAATTTAAACTGAAAAAATAGACCGTCAGGCAGTATTAATAGAGGTTGTTTTAGGTTGTTTTTGTAGCGATTAGGACGTTAAATTGTCTGGATTTTACGAGAAAGATTAGAGAGGATTAAAATGTAAATAAGGTGAAAAAAAGTTAAGTATTAACACTGAATTTTAAAGATGTAGGAAAGCTAGTAATAGGGAACAAATTGTGCCGTAACTTAGGTACTATTTTGTGTCCTGGACTTTTTAAGTAAATTAGTTCACAAGTTACCACTTTTTTTATGGCATAAGCCCATAAACGAGCAGACGGATCACCTGATGGCAAGCAATTGGCGTCGCCCATGGACACTTGGAACAACAGAGGCGTTACAAGTGCGTTACCGGCCTTTTGGGGATTAGGATTTTGAGGATCGTTGGGGATTCAGGAGTTGGGGAGATTAGGGAAGGGGGAGGGTAATTGGGCCTCTGGTAACCTCACTCACACGACGAAACACAACGCAAGTGTTGCTTCACGTCGGTTTTCTGTGAGGCCGTGCTATCACTCCAGTCGAGCCGGTCCATTCGTGCCGCAGCATAGCTCTCCTACACTTAGACTTATGAAGTAGAATTTAACAGAGAAGATGTTCAATACATTTTGTTCCATGTTCCAAGTTCAATGACACTTTCTGTCACCGATTGTGATCTCCAAGTCACCTACGAAATGCAGAGATTATTGTGACATGCAAACCTATTTTAAGCCCTTTGTCCAGCAGTCAACTTAAATATTCCAGCTAATGATGGCGATGACGACGATGACATAACATAATATAATTTCACGCCTTTTATCCCCGAATACTTAATGCCACTGTACAATGTAACACAAACTTTTCACTATTCAAGTTATTAGTCCCATGTCATAGGGAGTAAGCCTAAGCCTAATGCCATATACCGGGCATAGTTCCAGACTCCATGCTACTAATGAGTTTTTTTTTATAAACCCAGTAATACTTTGCTCGACTTAGGAATCGAACCCGAGACCTCTTGCCCAGCAATCGCACTTGCAACCACTTGGCCAAAGAGGTAGTCTGATGAGTCATGACGAATGATGAAATTGCAGATATACATATAATCGAGTCTTCTTGGTGTACCTACTTTTTGTTCTTTTTGGTGTCGATGGGGGCGCCAATAACTTACCATCAGGTAAGGTCTTTATCAATCTATGTCATAAAAAGCTCCACCTAGACTAACTAAGAAAAGAGAACCTATATGCTAAGATTTCTTAGTTTTTAGTCAAATTTCCGTGGTGCTTGACGACTGGGCTTCACCCAGTTGTACAGTCTCTTCTTTGTGCCTTTAGGCTTAATTCATTCTGTCTCCTGCAGTAATTCACCGAGGGAAGTGGAAACTATAGTTTTTTCTTCTTCTCCTCTTATAATATCTTCTGATTCACTTTGTTGAGGAAACCAAGACGGTTACTCATGTCCCTGGGACGCGCCGGACTTCAATGTTCCGGTGTTTTCATGGTTGTATCTACTGTAGATTCTTACAGGAGTTGCAGCGATTTTGGGAGGTTGTGGCGGGCTTGTCTCAATAAAAAAATATACATCTTAAAATTAATTAAAACAGCTAATAAAAAAAGGAAGAAAAAACGATATTCCGTCAGTTAGGCGTCAAAGAATTCGTCCGCATCATTGTCACTGGGGAACGTGCCCAGAGAACTGGCAACAATGTCACGTTGAATGTTAATGCTTATTTTCTGTCCGAAGAAATAGCCAGCCCTCTGGTTGCGAGCAGAAATGATTTCTAGTGTGGGAGAGCCATGCTTCGGCACGAATGGGCCGGCTCGACGGTAGTGATACCACGACAAATAGATAAGTAAACTTACCATACACATTAAGCCGGTCACTGTGAGCCACCACGTTGTCTCCGTGGTGTGCCACGCACGAGAACAATCCACCATCATCGACCCTCAAATGTGATATGTTTAGTTGCGTCACCACTCCACTATCTGGCGCCATGGTTTGGCCAATTACGTATCTGGAAAAGGAAGAAGATTTTAGCACATGGGAATGTAATACATCCTTACTAATAACCCGCGAGTTTAGTTAATTTAGTATGTTTCACGATCGCTTTTATAATAAGAACATAACATCCTGCCGTTGTTTTCCCAGTGAGCTACAACATGAGGTTCTTCAAGAAGGGAGTGAATAGGTTTTATAAGAGTCGGCAAGACGCATGTAATGTCCCAAGTGTTGCAGGCGTACATAGGCCACGGTAACCGCTTACCATCAAGTGGATCGTCAGATTTTTTTTCCATCGTCATAATATATAAAAAACCATGTGACTCCTCTGGTGTTGCGGGTGTCCATGAGTGGCGCTGATCGCTTACCATCAGGTGATCCGTCAGCTCGTTTGCCTCCTATTCCATACAAAAAAAAAAACCAACGATACTATCAATAACAATAAAAGTTAATGAAAATAGTAGCTACAAATTAAACCGATCTCAAAACCCAGATTTAACTACCATTGCAAAGATTTTTAAATTAAAATATACATCGAATTTCGTGTGTGATATATTTAAATTCCCGTAATATTTGCAGATGCAGATAATGTTTGCGAAGTAATTAACAAGTGTTCGTTTCACTAGGTTCTCGCAAATAACGTTAATTTTCTGTTTTCTTTTTTGTGTGTACTGTATTGGTTGGATTTATATCAAAGGAACACTTTGGTAAGCCAATGTTTAAAAATACAAGGTAGATATTAAGTATGTTAAGCATAAGATCACATCACGCCTTTTATCCCCGAAGGGGTAGGCAGAGGTGCACATTACGGCACTTAATGCCACTGTACAATGTAACACCCATTTTTCACTACTTATGTTATGAGTCCTATGTAATAGGGAGTGAGCCTTTTGCCTTATATCGGACACAATTCCAGACTCTATGCTAATACTGATATTTTTTTTAAAAACCCAGTAATACTTTGCTCGACCCGAATCGAACCCGAGACCCTTGCCCGGCAGTCACACTTGCGACCACTCGGCCAACGAGGTAGTCTATAGAATTATGTTAAGATGTAATTATATATTTATTTCTTTGTTCAAAGTTTGTTTCAAGTGTTATATGTATGTGTATACGATACGTTATGTTTTGAGTTTCTTTTAAGTCTATAGTCATAAACTGGGTACATTGCTAAATTCCAGAAAATAATTTCGATTTTTTTTAATAAAACCTTGCCTCTAACTTGGATTTTCTCCTACGTTTATAAACATACAATTACATGCACATGACACCGAGACCCAAAACAACAGTTTTTGTATCACACAAAACATTGCTACGTGCGGGAATCGCACCGCTACACGTTGAACGGCAGCCATTTGCCCAGCTACCGCGCCAACCGTGCAGTTAAATTAAAAAGACCCAATACCTTTCCTATAGTCGATTAAAAAACCTGATATTGAAACCTAGATCTCTTGTTCATGGCAAGCATGGGTAGCTCGCCGCCCGATCAGAACCAGACCTAAGCCTCAAAGAGCCATCAGACCACCACGGACGGGGCCCAATAGGGCTGATGCCGATACGGAACAGCGGAGAACGTAAAAGGTTACCAGGGCTCCGGCTAGAAGTGCAGGAGTAGGAACGGGGTGGTTTTTAGTCAGTAAGAGTCTGACACTCCTTTCCGCCTCACCCAGGCGGGAGCAGTCATTCGATGATATTCCCCCCTTAAAAAAAAAGTTGTTCAGCAGTCGCATTCGCAACTATTGAACCAACAAAAGGTAGAAAGGTAAAGTATAATAAACATTTAGTTATAACAAATTTAAACACGACAAGGTACCTTTAAAAAGGTTTCCTTCACTCAATTTCAGCACGTTTCAGAAATAGATTCGATTACAATACCGAATCGAATCCGAGTCATTTTGGGATGCATTCGAGAGTATCGATTTTAAATTTATATCTCGAATAGAATTTACTTCTCGATACTAAATAAAATAGTTTTATTGCATCGTTCATTCACAGTATAGACAGATGACCTAAAAAGGTGGAGGAAGGACCACCGGAGGCTAATATGGAGTAGTGGCCCTGTTGTAGCTGATTATGATGATGATTTTAGTAAGGTAAATATAAAGGCTAACTTTACAGTTTGCACACCCAAGTATGCTGTGGTTGGTTTGGCGTTGATTATTTTTTACGAATTAAGCCTGTCGAAGTCCCGGAGAACCTAACGGGTTACCGGGGCTCCAGCTCGACGTGCAGGAGAAGGAACGGGGTGGTTTTTAGTCAGTAAGAGTCTGAGACTCCCTTTTCCCCACTTAAAAACACGTTAAACGAGCAGACGAATCACCTGATAGTAAACAATCGGCGCCGCCTGTGGCTACCAAACACCAATGGTGTTACAAGTGAGTTATCGGTCTTTGGGGATTAGGAATTTGAGGATTGTTGATGATTCGGGGATTGGGGAGACTGGGTAAGAGGATAATTAGGCCTCCGGTAACTTACCTCATTCACACGACGAAATACAACGAAAGTGTTTTTTTCTGAGATATTAAAACCAGAACATAAGTAGCAAAAAGAGACTGGTAAAATTACTACACATCTTAGGTTATTCATCTGAGAAAAAATAACCCGTTACGTAAGAGCAAAAAGGATAAATTACTTAATTTCTCTCACCTGGAGTCAGTATTAGAAGAAATAACAATACCATCTCTCTCCCACACAAATCTCCCAGGATGCGGTCCATTCAAAGTGCACTGCAGACTAACCTGCAACCAATAACCAACCTTAACTTCTAGAAAATATGACACAAATTAGACTGGCTATACTAGAATATGGATTAACCTTTAACCAATAACCGTCTTTACAGTCAGGGGAATACGATAGAAATTCAATTGGATTATAAAATTGAAATAGTGAAACAAAGAGCTTTGCTGAATATAATACAATGTTGAATTTAAAATGGCGTTGAATTGAAAGACTAGAATTTGAACTCTGTTTTCATATTTGAGTTTGTTTTTGGTTGAATTTGAGTTCATAATAGTTTATATTCAGCTTTCCAAGTAATATGAGTTGTTTAAATACAGCTATTTACAGTGGAATGTAGTTAGTATTAATTTTGATAAAATTGAATAACGTTCACTATTTTATTTTAAATTAAAATCTATATTTAATATTATAAAGCTGTTTTTTTTGTTTGTTTGTTTGAACGCGCTAATCTCCGAAACTACTGGTCCGATTTGAAAAATTCTTTCTGTGTTGGATAGCCCATTTATCGAGGAAGGCTATAGGCTAAAATATCACGCTATGATTAATAAGCACCGACCAGAGCGAGTGAAACCGCGCGGAAGTAGCTAGCTTAATATGAATGCAAAAATATGTTTGTTGATTGGTCCTTCTTTTCACTTCGCAATGTTACGTTTTTTGTCTGAACATAGTTAGGAGGCTGGACAGTGATAATTACTACTTTTCATTTAGCCATTATACCAATAATATATACTGAATAGACCCCCAAATACTACAAAAGGAAAATTCCCACCACTTGAACATATTATACATACAAATAGCTATCAAAAATTTTTGGACCCAATTAAAGACCCTGAAGAATCCCAAATCCCTCGCTCAATGTTCAATCACGTTTGAAAAAAAGCAAAGAAAAATAATTAAATTTTATAAAGGAAGACATGCTAATTTTTCCCGGGAAAGCTTATGGATCCCTTGGGTTGAGCACAAATAGACTGAGCGTCCCCGTTTATATAAATAAGGTAACACTTTACTTGATTACATAAATATTTATTGAACAGTAATAACTGAGTAAATAAAGGAGATCAAATATTTTGTTTTAAGTGAAACAAAACAATTAATTGTACAATTTCGCCCTAACTGTCCGTTTTCCTAATGTTTGCTACGCGTGCTACGCCGTAGTCATGCTACGGCGTAGTAGTGCTACGATGTAGCCGGCGTTGTCCGGTTATGATATGTATCGTTTGCTGTTTTGGTACTTTTCTCTTTACTTTAATATTTATCTAACGTCAATCATACTATAACTATAATTATATTAACATTGGATTTGTCCTAATTTGAAAGAATTTCTCCAAGTAATTTGTTGCTAGAACAAAACTTAAAATTACCCAAAAATTTTGCACTAAAATCTCAAATTGTGTACTTAGTTTCTTCGGAAAAATCTTGTACAAACAATAACAAATCCTTTACATACTTACATCTACTCCAGGCATAACTGTAGTCTCGCTGAAATGCTGTGATATCATCATTTGTAAACTTCTTGTGAACCTGTGTTGCTCGTTTGCGTCTGCAAAGAAAGAAACAGGTGAGGAACAAATATATTTCTTATGTTACACGAAGTGAAGGATGTAATCCTTGATAACATAACATTATGTAATATATTATGTGGGACTTATAACATAATTAGTAAAGGTGTATGATTTAAAAGGGGGTGATTCGTATATCGGGTGAAAATTCTGGATTTTCACCTCCATGTTATTAAAACTATTTCTTTTATATCTTTAAATATTAACATTGCCTCACACTAGGATTTTCTCCTGTTCCATGAGTGCATTTACATATTTACAAGTATACATACACATGACACCCAAACCCGGAACAACAATCTGTGGATCACATAAAGAGTTGTTCCGTATGGGAATCGAATCCGCGACACGTTGCGTGGTAGCCGGTTGTCCAGCGACCGCACCGTGCTGTAAATCTACTTAGCCGGAACTGGATCGAAGCATTACTCAGTTTTTTTTAATAACCCAGTAGTACTTTGCCCGACCCGGGAATCAACCCGAGACCGCTTGGCCGGCAGTCGCACTTGCAACACACGTAATAACATATTCATTAATTTTAATTTTATTACCTCCCAATAACGATTTTATAATAAAATATGAAGTGGTTTTTAAAACGTCATACGTCTATCGAATGTTATTCAGAAACTTGATACTGAATGTTATTGATTTAGTCTCCGATGTGATGGTTGGTTTTGTAATTGCAGTTTCATTTAAGAGTGGCGTTAATCTGGTATAACTTTTATTAATTCAACTGTAATTATGATTTGATTGACTTTAATGGTTTTTTTTTAACTTTGCCCCACATTAGGATTGTCTTCTGTGTCGTGGGTGCGTTTACAAACATACAAGTTCACATACACAATGACACCCAGACCCGGAACAACAATTCGTGGATCACACAAACTGTTGTTCCGTGCAGGAATCGAACCCGCGACACGTTGCACGGGAGCCGGTTGCCCAGTCACCGCACCAACCGTGCAGTCGAATGCTGTTTGATTTTTTTTCTATTTTATATTTAACCTACATTCACTTTTTTTTCCACTATTCAGAAACCATTATAACACTTTGTTTAAGTTAAGTATTGAATACGAAACCCTGTTTATTAGTCGCTCTTGAGACTGTCGGTTTTTGGATCTTAAGATTATGAGTGTCCTTGTGTGTACTGCTAAGGAGTGGAATTCTTTGCCAGAGTCTGTGTTTCCTGAAGGGTATAACCTGGGTGTCTTCAAGACCCGAGTGAATAGGTTGCTTATGGATCGATGTACTCCATCGTAGTTTGTATCATCTCTTACCACCAGGCGAGATAGTGGTCAAATGTCGGTTCATCAAATCTTTATATATATAATTCTGCTGTACGTGTGTATGTCATTGAACTCCTCCTAAACGGCTTGACCGATTTAAATGATTTTTTTCTGTACGCGTTTCGAGTGGCGCCCTGAATGGTTTAGAATCACAAATCAGCGCGGCAGATGGCACTAATGGTGTCTAGGTTATTTGTCTATACCTATTATTATATTATTTTTATATAATATGCAGGACAACGTCTGTCGGGTCCGCTAGTATGTATATACTTTGAAAATAACAGAGATGGCACAATATTTTAAATACAACTTAAAATCGAGTAGCCTTTCAGTTTTCGAGCGTTGAGAAATATATAAAATCTATACCATACATGATTACATGTTTACATCGAAAATAAATGTGAAGGTTTTACCGAAAATGCTTCAAAACCCAATAGCTACCTATAACGACCCTTGTTAACTTACTTACCTTGAAGAGTAACATCGTCGTGTAAACTCCAAGCCTCCCCAACAACGTTATATGATCTGAAAAAAAAAACGACTATAAGAAACCAATTATTTTTAATGAAGGGAAAATGAAACTTTAGCTTTAACGAACAGGGTTTTTTTTTCCAACGAACATAATTTTTGATATGTAAAATTAATATTTAATAAGGATATTTTATAATACAAATTGGTGGTTTAGTGTAGTTAGGGATTGGGCATGAGTCGCCTGAGGGATCGGTAAATATTAGTAGTTATAAGTACACTAGAAAGGCCGAGAATCGAAATGACCCAGCGGCAATTCTAGGTCAACCATTATTTTATTTTTTAAATAGCGACCCGCCCCGGCTTCGCTCAGGTGCAATATGCATGTATTCTCCATAAAAACCTTCCTTAAAAATCACTCTATCTATCTAAAAAAACCTAATCAAAATCCGTTGCGTAGTTTTAAAGATCTAAGCATACATAGTGACAGACAGACGGCAGATGGCGACTTTGTTTTATACTATGCACTGATTATTATTTTACTGAAAACAATAATAATAATTAAAACACGATAAATAAAAATCAAAAAGTTCCACGCACTTAACTTTAAAAATAAAAAAGATATAAACAACCAAATTTGCAAATGGGACAAAATTGGGACGTCGGCATTTCTAGTGTTAAAAACACTTCAGGTACGCAAAAATGTTCTAAGATGAAGTTAACTTTAATTCTAGAGTCGTTATCTGCCAGTCTTGGGTAATGCTAAGATAAGCTTTTAGTAAGTGAGGAATGAGGAAAACGTGAAATTTTTCCGTTCAAACAACCCTAATATTTTTTTTCGGTTGGTGCGGTGGCTGGGCAACCAGCTGCTGTGCAACGTGTCGCGGCTTCGATTCCCGTACGAATGGATATGGATCAATGGTTTGTATGATCCACAAATTGTTGTTTTGAATGTAGCGGTATTTTTATGTGAATTTATATGTTTGTAAACGTACCTACGGCACAGGAGAAAATTCAAGTATAAGGCTCGTTCTTTTAAAAATGTTATTTTTTTTATAATTTGTGGATCATCCGCGCTGTAATCGGACCCGCTACCCGTTGCCCGTATCTAGTTCACTTTTACCTTAGACAAGCCTTACGTACTTCTATTTGGCATTCATCATATTCATACATCTGGTGATACAAGCATTGTAAGAGAACTTAAAACCTGGCCTCTTTCCAGAACCTCGCCAATTGAATTTTAGTCTTTTGCAATCAATACTAGAGTTCAAAATTAAATATTTTCTGAACATCTTCCTGGTGAACTATTAATAACTATCGCATTTCTTTAATCAAATTTCAAATCATAGTTTCAAGCAAACCCCTCTGTAATAGATATCAGAAGCCAAACTCTCTCTGATTGGTTGGGTCATTGAAGCCGGCCAATCACAGCGCCGAACGCGTACTCGTCACGATTACTATAAACGTAAAACAAACTTGTACTAAGCCCTCAGTAAGCACAATTTGGGGCTCAAAACTCTAATAATAGAATCAACTATCTTAAAACAATAACTAACTTGAAGGTCCAAGTGACTGGTCAAAAGACAATAGAAATTATCAACAAAGATCCTAAGGCAGAAGCACCCTTGCTTTTACAAATAATTTCCCAAATTCACTGAGTTGAAAAACCTTATTACTTCCCAATAACCCTTTGAAGTCTTGGAGGACTTTGAGACCCATAGAACGGTTTAACCTTAATATACAACATACTATCGTAAACTATTCCATAATATGATTAGTCTTTGATGTGAGCCTTTGGCATTTATGGCCTGCGTGGGTACGGTTGAACGATTTTCTCGGTTTAATCCCAAAATATCTGGAGAATTAAGGCAAGATTTAATTTTTGAAATTGAATTATGAATCTTTTGGAATTGAGAGCGTAATAAATATTATTGTCATTTCGTAGAATCTGTGAGGATATTGGTATTAATTGTTGGGCACAGCAAAAGTGTTGGAAAATAAAGTGTTTTGGAAATACAAGTGATTTTTTTAATACCAAAAATTCTCGTTTTTAGATTTCATTTTGACGAAGGAAGAGTGTCCAAGCGCATGACATTGCATTATTATTGAGACACAAAGGTAAAAATTGTACCTTCTAAAATTTAGAAATTTTGTTTCAAAGTAATACACAACCTCCCAAAACCGCTGTAATTCTTGTAAGCCAGGATCTACAGTCGATGCATCCATAAACACACCGGAACACTGAAGTCCGGCGCGTTCCAGGGACATAAATAATGTCTTGGTTCCCGCAACGAAATGAATCAGAAGACATTATAAGAGGAGAAGAAGAAAACGATAGTTTCCACTTTCCTCGGTGAACAACTGGGAGAAGCCCAGTCGCCAAGCACCACGAAAATTTGACTAAAACCTAAATGGATCCTATGTGTTAGCCATTATAGTTACTTGAAAATTTGTAATTATGAAACTACCAAACCGTACCTACGAAAGGGAAATCTTTTATTAGAAAAAAACTATAAATACTGATTCTGCAACCACCTATTACACAGACGTGACACAGATTAAAAGGACCTGTAGGTAGGAAGTAAAAAATCTGCGTTGGAAGTGCACAGGCGTAGCCAATAACTAAGTTATTGTATAAGTGAGTTTAGGTGGAAGTGCATGCCATGGACTGCGGTATCTAACCTATGTTTACGGATGAATACGTCTTGTTAGGTCTCCGGCGAGGGATTTTGGTGGAATATCGTCATAGCTTTTTAGTCCTGACTAGCTTCTGCCAGCGCGCGTTCCCGTGTATATAAAGTAGACTATGTGTTTTTCCAGACCATAACCTACTCCTGCCCCAAATTTCATCTTGATCCCTCCAGCCGTTTTCTCGTGAAGAAGTAAAATCAAACCAAAATACAAATTTTCGCATCACTACATCAATACATAGTATAAAACAAAGTCGCTTTCGCTGTATGTCCGTATGTATGCTTAGATCTTTAAAACTACACAACGGATTTTGATGCGGTTTTTTTTAATAGATAGAGTGATTCTTAAGGAAGGTTTGTATGTATATACATATTGCACCCGTGCGAAGCCGGGGCGGGTCGCTAGTAGTATATAAAACAAAGACGCTATTCACCATCTGTCTGTCCCTATGTATGTGTCTATCTTTGAAACTACGCAACGGATTTTGATGCGGTTTTTTTTAATAGATAGTGTGGTTCTTAAGGAAGGTTTATAATGTATAATACATGCATATTGCACTCGTGCGAAGCCGGGGCGGGTTACTAGATTAAAATATTAATAGGATTGGCTTAATTGAAGACTCAGGTGTGATGAATTTTTTATCTAATAAACAGGCACTTTAGGGTATTTTCAAAACATAGATAAATAAGGCTAGTGCGCTCCATTGTAGGCCGTATCATCGGTTCCCATTAGACGAGATTATGGATAAACGCCCGGCCTACAGTCATCAAAAAAAAATATCTTGAACTGTTGCCCGCGACTTCGTCCGCGTAGAATGTTTTATTCCTGTTTTATCCCATGGAAGCATTTAATCAGGTCCTAGTCAGGTCCATTTAATTAGGTATCCTATCACCTAAATCAGCCCATACCCTGCTTGTATATCAAATTACACTAAAATTGTTCAGTAGTATAAGCGTGATTGGCGGACAAAGTACATCCAAATAAAGGAACTTTCACATTTATAACCCCTAACTCATGGTGTTAACTCCGATAGAAACAGGTATGAATTTATTATTTATTACTTTACTAGCTTTTACCCGCGGCTTCGCTCGCATCACAAAAGGATAAAAGTAGCCTATCTGACATATACCAATACACACAGCGCCATCTATACCAATTCTTTTGTTTTCCCTCGGGAATACCAAAATTTTTCGAGATAAAAATACCCTATTATTTAATCCGGATTTCTAATTTTACGTCTGTAAAAATTCAAAGCAATCGGTTTAGAATTTACGGCGTGAAAGCGGAATAAACAAACAAACAAACAAACTCCCAAACTCACTTTCACATTTATAATAGTAAGGATATAACTTAGGTGATAAAATACCTAATACTAACTATACCAACAGCAATTTATATTTCATATCACATTAAAAATAAGCTAGATTACTTGACAAAACATTTTCCACAAACGCTAAGAATATAAGAGAATTTTCGAAGCCCCGTTTTACCAGATTACTTTTTATTATTCTATGTTCTCAATCCCTGAAAGCATCGTTTGGAATTTCATTTAAAAGGTGGTAAATTGGAGAGGCTGCGACACAGGCTATCAGGGATAGGCCGAATAATTAAATTATTCCCTCCTAGCCTAGGATACGCGTTCTAAATTAACTAAAGCTAACGTATACTGCGTAACATTAAGTGTAGGAGAGCCATGCTTCAGCACGAATGGGCCGGCTCGACCGGAGTGATACCACGGCCTCACAGAAAACCGACGTGAAGCAACGCTTCTGACTGCACGGTTGGCGCGGTGGCTGGGCAACTGGCTGCCGCGCAACGTGTCGCGGGTTCGATTCCCGCACGGAACAACTCTTTGTGTGATCCACAGATTGTTGTTCCGGGTCTGGGTGTCATTGTGTATGTGAACTTGTATGTTTGTAAACGCACCCACGATACAGGAGAAAATCCTAGTGTGGGGCAAAGATTTAAAAAAAAAAAAAAAAAAAACGCTTGTATTGTGTTTTTGTCGTGTGAGTGAGTTTACTAGAGGCCCAGCTACCCTCCCCCTTCCACAATCTCCCCAACCCCCGAATTCCCCACAATCCTCAAACTCCTAATCTCCAAAAGGCCGGTAACGCATTTGTAATGTTTCTGGTGTTCCAGGTGTCCATGGGCGACGCCGATTGCTTACCATCAGGTGATCCGTCTGCTCGTTTACCGGCTTATGCCATAAAAAAAACATTAAGTTCATGTTTCGTTATAGTGAATTAAATGCATTCGTAATCTTATACGGTGTGGTGTCAGATGAGTAGAATTGGTACAGTATTTCACCACCATCTCTTATTTTTTATTAAATAAATCGGGAAACGAGCAAACGAGTCACCTGA